GTAATATACAAATTCTTTATGCATTTATGTTCATGATGTATAGTCGCCAGGGTAAGTATGAGCCACGATCCGTTTGATCGCTCCAAAATGAGCAGGAATAAGAAAATGGGCATCATCTTCAATCTGCTGCTTGACAATGTTTGTTAGATCATCCGACATTTCCACCATCTTCTTACCTGTTGACAAGCCTAGTACCTACAGACAGAAAATAAACATGTCATGTTTGGGGTTTCTATGATAATTATTTGGAACTTTAACATAAAAATCTTCCTAAATTTAATATTTAATGTTGGTTTTTTGCGTGAATTTAGCTTGAACATAATTTTATTTTTCTTTCTCGCATAGTCTGCCAACAAAAACTGTGACCTGTATTTTGTTAAAAAGATTTTGTATTATTAAGTGACTATAACATATAAACTGCCAGTAAATTATTAAATTGCAATATAGCGGAGCTACAGAAAATATGGAATAACAAGTATAAGCCCCTGTTGCCTGAGTAGTAATAGTAGAGCTGCCACTAGAGTAGAAACACAATGATCCAAAGCGTCTATCGTCTACCAACATTTTTCTTGCTGTCTAATTGATGGATTACTGTATGTATTTTAAATTTTAATCTTTGTTCAAAACATAAATTTTAAAAGTAAGAAGATAACTGCTCATAGCTTGGACCATCAACAGACTGTACAGCATAATATGCCTATAGTAAGTTGACCTCACCGGTAGAGGTACAGCCAACTTTATTTTATTTTTATTATATTATTTTTATTCCTTTCAGTAGTGGTGGGCTATACAGGGTCAAATACCAAATGTACAGGTCTTAAATGAAGCGGCTTATTGTCCCGAACATTTTAACAACCTTTTTAAGAAAATCAGTTGAAAAATGGGACAGTACGGGCCAAAAAATGAAAAACGGGCGGGGGAAAATGACCCCTTCAGCGGTCAAATTTTTCTATCTGAAGTCGACGCGTAGGGAAATTTTGGATTTATACTAGGATCTTCGTTGATTTCTTTCATATTTTACATAATTGTAAAAAAATGTACCTTTTGAATACATACATGCCATTTTTATGACATCTGAAGACAGCAAATTACGATAGGATGCATCTAATTTTGGGGTATCAAATGTCGGTGCTTTGACCTTGGAGGTGTCGGGATTTGTGTAGGCCTAAGCCTACTTGTAGCCAGGCACTTTTGGGTCATAACGTACACGTATTCGTTCGCGTGCGAAACTTGTCTATTATTGAATATTGACATACTTGTAATTGTGCTGCCCTCTCTAGGTAATATGTTTTATCAAAAGCTTCTGCAGTGCTTTTCCCTGTAACAAGTACTCCATGCTGGCCCATCATCATGACTGACTTGTCACCTAGCTGCTTAGCAATCCTACAGGCCTCCGTATCAGCTGACGCAAGGCCATCGTAACCATTATCGTATGCAATATCTTTGAAAAAGCGGGCAGAATTTTGATGTATCATCAGCAGGGTTGGATCTTTGAGACACGCTGTAAAAGATGAAAATTTGATACACAACAGAATATACAAATTCCTCTACCAAGGTCATTTACTTACTTTAATTATTATACTGATTATCAAGATGAAAAATTAAGTTTTTCATCTTGTGACAGAATGGGATCTGGTTGAATTCTTTATTGAAAGATAATTACTGTAGTTTTGTTTTTTTGGTTTTTATTTATTTTTATTATTTTTTTAAAATTTTTATTTTTGTTTATCCAAATATCCAGGTGATTACTGTAGTTGTCTCAATCTTTAAATTAGCTGCCAGGAATTGTAAGGGTATACTGTATGCAAAGAATATTAAATTGGTAAGAAAATTGTTTTTCTCTTTTAGTTAAAACCTAATAACTTATTGATATAACAAAATAATCAATTTCATTTTTTTAAAATCATTTTACATTTTACTGTAGGTTGCAGTATAACCCTAACTGCTTATTGTTCAATAAAATTG